ATCAAAAACAAAAAGCTCTCATTAAGTCAATTAATCTATCTAAACAATATGTATCTAGTTCCTAAGCTATGCTATATGTTGCAACTATCGAACCTCTCCAAAAATGCACTAAATACAATATATCAACTAATGATAAGGCTAATTAAAAACAAAATAAACTTACTATGCTCAACAAGTAATTTTTTACTATTATATAGAAACTTAGGAGAGTGCAAATTCTTATAGCAAGAACATTTAACACATCAAGTAACAGACCTTCATCATAGACTAAATAGCTCTAATCAAGATAGCCAACTTGCAAAAATACGCATTAAACAAGAATTACTTATAGCAAATATAATTGACAATAACTGGCATTTTGAGGCAGATCCAAGTCTAAATACAATTTGAAAAAATAACATAACTTGTCTAGTTCTATACAAGGCAAAAACATTTAATATGAGCATTAAACCTATATCAGACAAATAGCTTTTTCAAGAAACAGGTCTACTAATTAAAGAAGTTATAGACACATCTATCTTCATAAGAGCAACAAGAAATATTTATAATCTGGGTATCATCTTCTATGACCAACTTTTGACAAAGAAGAAAAGAAACTTCTAACATGGCAGTAGCTAAAAGTAGTAAGAAGTAAATCTAAAGTTAAGAAAAAAGCAAAGTGGTTCACCTTTATAGAAAATGCTTTACTACAGAACCCAGAGAGTAGAAAAATTAAAAAGATCTACCAAACACAAGGCCCAAACAACCTCGTACTCTTAATGCCACTTGTAACAATTTCACCAAATAAAAGGAAAAAAGAATTGATCCTAATAAATAAAGAAAACAATGAACTAGAGCCAAGAAAGATTATCAAGAAAAGTAATCATAAAATTCTCACAGAATATTGAATATCTAAAGAAAATAATACATTATCAGGCTATCTAGAAATAGAAAAACTAAATAGAGCACTATCAATAGAGCAGAAAGAAGATTATAGTTGGATTAGCCAAAAAAAAGTGCAGATAGTAATTTCAAAGCCGATACAAAGAAAGAACCAAAAATATATTCCCAGATATATAGATATTCTGCCAAGCAATTCTAACAAACTCAAAACATCCAAACATAGTAGAGAAGAAATGGTGCTTCACAGTTTGCAGTGTATCAAACATTTGGATAAGTAGCTAATAATACAATAGATCAAGATTTCGAAATATCTCTAATGAATTGTTTAGAAAATAGTTTAGAATTTAATACAAATAGTAGTAAAAATAGTTTTTGGATATATACTGACGGTTCATTAAGGCATGAAAGCAATAGATGTAGTATGGGTACTGGATGGGTACAAGTAGCCAAAAAACAAGAAAATCTACTATGAGAAGGTTGTGCAAAAATAGAAAATTGGCCATCATCAACAAAGCTCGAGCTTATCGCAATTTGGCTAGCTCTGTTCACTATGCTATCAAGTTGTAATATTTGTGTTTACTCAGACAGTACAGCAGCAATTGCTGGTATTAAAAAGATCAAAGATGAGTAGAGATTTAACAAAATCTATAAAGAAAAGAACTGGGATATTTTAAAAAATCATAGATCTTCTCAAAGCTAAAAACATTAATCTGGAGCTTAAAAAGATTAAAGATCATAGCAATAGCAAATGGAATAACAAAGCAGACCTTCTAGCAAAAAAAGCTACTTTGTTAGCTTACTCGACAAATATTTATGCAGACCACAATACCAGAATTACATTTTCTCTCTTCTGGAATAATTACAAAGTCAAAAAATCAACTAGACCATTTCTAAAAAAGATTTTAGAAACTTGGAATGGTACTAACTAGAGACTAACAGAGACAATTCTGGCTCTAGAACCTAAAACAGACAATCCCAAGTTAGACTGGCATACATACTGAAAAAGGATCAAAAAATTGAAAGGAGTTAAATGTAATACATTACAAAAAAGTAAAAAACTTACAACACAACTGAAGTGCCTCTCGGAAAACTTAGAACTCTGGCAATAAGAAGACTAGATATTTATGCAGATGGTAACTGTATAGCCTGCAACACTGGTATATTAAAAACTCAAGACCATTTAGCTGTATATATGTATTACAAAATAATATGGCAAAATATAGAGAATATAGCAATTGATTTAAACTCACGAAAGAAAAAAAATATTGCTGCCCAAAAAACACTCTCTACAAGATCCTTATCGGAGACTCGGAAGCTATCAAATCAGAAAAGAGAAGGTTATGGATCAAAGATCTATTTACTGCAAAATCGTTTAATGAAATAAAGAACCTTCTAAACTCAACAGAATCGACCTCACATATAGTAGAACTTATAGCACACATAATGTGGAATGTTTCTATGATTTTATATAGAGAGACAGATACAGCAATGTCGTAGAATGGGAAAAAAGACAAAATATAAGTAAGACAGACAAAAGAAAAAAGAAAGAAAAATTAACAAAACTGAGAAAGCCTCTGTCTAGCAACTCAAAAGAAAAAAAGTAAAAGTAAGAAAAAAGAAAGAAAAAGGTAATGAAAGTAAAAAAAAGAAAAGAGACAAGATATCAGCAAAAGAGAAAAAGATACAAAAAGTTTGGAGTGATACTATTTTAAGTTGGATACAAAAGGGTAAAAACCCCTTTTGGACAAGTTCATAAAAAGAACTTTTTTTTTAGCTTATCTGTAAGCCAATGCGATAGGTTGCACCTTGTACCACAAGTAACTAGATGAAGTCAGGCTCTAATTTAGTTTTAGAAAATAAAAGTATAGATATAAAATTAAATGTATTTAAAACTAAGAGGTCAAGCCATGGCAAGATTTATCAAAGAAATAAAAAAAAAAAATATACCTATGATGTTTAGTACTATATATAATTGTTTAATAAAATTTAAGGTTAGAGTACATTTTTTAATAATTTTTCATTTTTTTTTATTTTTTGACAGTCTTGTTGGTACTTCAATACAAATATTTATATGGCGAAATCTGTCTTAAAAACAAAACCTATTTCTAGTAAATATCTTTTGCAATTACTAGCCTGGCATTACCTGGCTACAGATACTGCACCTAGTGTTAGCCTTAAGAGTTTTCATATTTTCACCCATAACTCTTGACCCAGAGAAGCTAGCAGGATGAAATAACCACCATTGGATACAGCTCACTGAGATGCTTCGAATGAGCTATAGATCATGTGATTTTGATCACAGAATCACGAGATCAGAGGACATTTGTGTTGAGCTATTAATAGGTCAAGATAAACACATAACTTAACCTTATTAGGCAATAATACTGCGCCCAAAATCTAAAGGATCTAAAGAATCTAAAGGATCTAAAGGATCTAACATATCTTTTATATCTATTATATCTATTATATCTATTATATCTTTTATATCTTTTATATATAACATATCTATTAGTTTCGCACTACTTTTAGTACTATAAATAGCTTTTAAATAGACTTTATACTTCTTTATTGTAATTATTTATACATGTAATTTCTTTATAAATACGCTGCCCTTCTGCCCTCCAGAAGCTGCAGTGTCTTCATACACTGGAAAGTAATAAAGATACAATTCTTAGTATCCTCATATACTATTAATTGTTTGCCTCTTAGCCTTAATACATAAATCACTCAAAAACCTCTTTGTTAAGTCCCACTTGGATGCTATAAACCCTTAAAGCTGTAAAGTTATAGTCCTCATACTATAATCAGCAGTCTCCTGAAGTTCTGGAAGAGGTGAATTTCCAGGTTGACAATTTGGTGGTGACTGTGAGATAAGTTCTCTACTAACGTCAGAAATTGTTTTTAGTTTGTCATAAGAGAAGTCGATCAATTTTGGATAGATTGACTTGAAATTTGGTATACTAATTCTTAAAAGACTAGTGCATCTTTTATACTAAGCATTATTTTAGTAGAAAATCCCTTTGAAACCCGATATTCACATTCAAATTTAGTATAGCTGTAAAAATAACTATTTTTAGTTTGTTATAGGAAAAGTCTACCAATTTTAGTTCGTTTGATTTGAAATTTGGACTGTATAATCTTGAATACCCCCTTCATCTTTTGTACTAAATAATATCTTAGTAGAAAACGCTTCTGAAAGGCGCTATTTCCATCCAAAGTACTGATAGCGATTTTAAACGTCTCTTGCAAATTCTTTGAAGATCACCTTTCTTCTTTTGATCACATGACATAAAGGCCGTGACAGCAATATCTCAGCATCCAGATATCTGATTAATGAGACCTTGACATCTTTAGACTCACACAGACCTCCTGAACAACTTTTCATTAATACACAAACCCTGTTAGCTTAGTAAAATTTTGAGTATTGTTCAAATCTCAAAATTTGATCAAAAATTCTCTTTTCATCATTATTATCTATTATTTTCGTATTACTATATACATACCACATATCTTATCATTTTTAGTTTACTATACCTGCCCATAAGTTTTATAATAGATGAGATTAATGAAAAGTTTGATCTCTACTATAACCCTTGGACTGATTTCAATTTTGATCAACAACCTGTACCTAATACTCTACCTATAGAAGAAAATTTACCAACTGAACAAGAAGCCTTACAACTTGCATCTCTACAACACTATGATGTTGAAGATATGGATGATAACCAAGATCCATGGGAAATATTTGAAGAAACAGTAATTGCCTCTAGACAAGCTATTGGATATGATTGTGATGAAAATTTTGATGTTTATAAAAATAATAATTTTTATACATCAGATGAAGAAACTATCTATACTTCCACTACAAGAAACAAAAGAGTATCTGTATATACTGTGAATGATCTTATTCAAACCAGATTAAATCAAATTCAAAAGCTTTTACAACTTAGGATCAATAAGTGCAGATTAAACAAAAGCTTGTGGATTCTTTCTGAAATTCAATTTTTCTTATATTCAAACTTGCCTACACTCTTGAAAAATTTGAACAAAGATTTTATAAAGATAGTAAACACAAAGAAGAAGTCTACTCAAGAGAGATTAGTCAAACAAATTTTGAAAAAAATAGAAAGATGTAGAAAGTTATATTTTAAAAGATTTATTACAAAACATTGTGATTGTTAAATTGGACTTCTATTTATTATATTAGTATAGTTTATTTAGCAATAATTATATAATTTATTAGACATTATATTATTATGAGAATATTATTTGCACAATTTAAATATATTTAGTTTTTTTGGTTTAGTATTTTTGGTTAACCAGAACAGATTTAAGTAAAATTAGAACATTTTTAGTTTGTTATTTCTAAGCAAAAATAACTGAAGGTTGGATATTTTTACCCTTACAAAAAAAAAAAAATAATAATAACAGAAATTAAGATAGCAGTAAGTCTTGAAAATAGTCTGACAATGGCCGAATAATAATTGTTAAGCATGCTAGAAATTTGAAACAATGTACTATATTTGAAGGAATCTGTAAGTCATGTATATAGCCTAGTACTGGCGAGTCTAATAAGTACTGTGCATGATAAAAAATTAGCACTATTTTGAAATACTAGAATTATTTGAATAGAGTATATATCTTCATATCACTATACTTATTCTTATAATAATACTTTGGAACTTAAATACTTTATTACAATCAATTGGGTTTTAAACTTTCAAGATATTGTAATTTTAAATCCATCATTAAAATCAATTCAGTTTAGGTTGATGGTGTCCTAACAAAAATATTACAACTTATCAAACACTATTAGATTCACAATTTAATTTTTAATTTCTTTTTTTAAAGAAATTATATTAAACACTTTATTAGAAAAACACTTATTTTATTTAAACAAAAACTTTTTATATTGCAAATATTTTATTACCCTTTATACTACACGAGTCACATTTTCAAATCATGTGAAAGTCTTAAATTTTATTAGACAATTAGACAATTTTAATGATCTTCAAAAAGAGTACAAAATTTAGAATTAGTAATTATTCTGATATGGATTAACGATATTAAGCACATTACTAGGTTGTAGAGGTCGTGTGTTCGAATCCGGCTATGGTGAGCATTCTGCTTAGGTACCAAGTTCAGCAACACCTAGTGCTCGGCAAAATCAAACAAAAACTCGATTATCGAGTTTTTGAATCTATCGATTTATAGTATTGTGCTTCAATTATAAAATCTATTTTTACTCTAATCTGACTTTAAATTTCATGTTAGTTACCATGAAGACTAAAGTAAGATCAGATTTCTGTTAGATTTATATATATACTAAAAATAAAATTTGTATTTAATTCCCAATATTGTAAATTGATAGATTCAAAAACTTGATAATTGAGTTTTTGTTTGATTTTGCTGAGCACTAGCAACACCCTTAGTTGAAGTATCAGAAATCTTTATTTTTTTTTCTTTAAAGAATTTTTATTATTTTTTTTTACATTATAATATTATATATATTTTTTATACAAAAACTTTATTTTTTTTTTCGAACAATTTATTATTACGTATAAACTTTTATATTTAAATTTTATATTTATTTATTTATTCAAAAAAAATAGAAAAAGAAAATAATTCAAAAAAAAAATAATAATATATATACAAAAAAAAAAAAACAACAAATGAAAAACCCTAAAAACCAAAACCCGTTATTCTATTTCTATTACTATTACCTTTATTACTTCCTTCACCTTCTTCTAATCTTCTTAACTCCTCCTCATAATTAGTCACACTTACTCTTAATCGATTTCTTTCCCCCAACAATCTTTTATACCGCTGCTCCAACATCCACCTCTCTTGTACTCTTTCTACTGTATTTACCTCCAACTCTTCTTCTAACTTCTGGATTCTTCTCCTTAGTGAGGCCACCAACCGACACAAACTATATATATAAAAATATATTTTAATATTTTAATATTCAAAAATATTTGAAAACTTAGTTCAAATATTTACCGCAAGTTCTCATTTTGGACCACCCCTCAGGCCTCGTACAAAGCATTATTACTGTTTCGACGAGCATGTCTGTTGCCACGTAGCAAATTACGTCGAGTCATTTTTTTTATTATTTTTATTATTATTTTTTTCTTTTGAAAAAAAAAGAAAAAGAAGATGAAGAAAAAGTTTTTTATTTTTTTTCTTTCACATGAACACTAGTTATTTTCTTATGATGAAACAAAATTAGAAATCAATTGAATGATGATCTGACAAATCTGGAAATCGATTAGAAATTGATTTAACGAATATAGTATGACAATAATACTATAAGAAATTTAGATCAGATAACAGCCAAAATTGTTAGCAAATTATCAAGCTCTTATTTTGATTTTTCTCGGAGTTCAAAACTAAGTCGGAGAGAATTGTTAACCTTAAAAGTTTTCACCTTTTCGCCTATAACTTTTGATCCAGAGATGTTAGAAAGATGAAACAACCACCATTGGATACAGCTCACCGAGACGCTTCGAATGAGCTATAGATCATGTGATTCTGATCACGGGATCACGAGATCGGAGGACATTTGTGTTGAGCTATTAATAGGTCAAGATAAACACATAACTTAACCTTATTAGGGAATAATACTGCGCCCAAAATCTAAAGGATCTAAAGGATCTAAAGGATCTAACATATCTTTTATATCTAATATATCTATTATATCTTTTATATCTTTTATATCTATTATAACTTTCATATCTTTTATATATAATATATCTATTAGTTTCGCAATACTTTTAGTACTATAAATAGCCTTTAAATTAGAATTGTATTTCTTTATTGTAATTATTTATACATGTAATTTCTCTATAAATACGCTGCCCTTCTGCCCTCCAGAAGCTGCAGTGTCTTCATACACTGGAAAGTAATAAAGATACAATTCTTAGTATCCTCATATACTATTAATTGTTTGCCTCTTTGCCTTAATACATAAATCACTCAAAAACCTCTTTGTTAAGTCCCATTTGGACGCCCTAACCCTAAAGCTGTAAAGTTATAGTCTTCATACTATAATCAGCAGTCTCCTGAAGTTCTGGAAGAGGTGAATTTCCAGGTTGACACTATCTATTCAAACATGGCTACAACATGCATATACAATCTGGAAACAGATTTATCATACTTACCACCTTGAACATTCTCTGCGTCTTCGTCATCAAATCAACCAAGCCTCTGAAAAAAGATATAAAACTTTAGTTTCCAAGCCTACACAAGCTATTAATAGCATACTAGATCATTACCAACCTCCTGTTTACTTTACTAATATAAAACTACCCAACCAACTTATTACTAACCCAACTCAAATCAAACAACACATATGATCACACTTTTCCAACTAGATGGCATTTAAACCAATCAACTAACAACTTTTTGATAATTTTTGGCAACAATATTATCTCCCACTTCCTCACATTAATCCAGATTGGTATATACCGCTTACCGCACCTATCACTACAGATGAAGTTCTCCAAACGATATCTAAACTTCCTAATAGGAAAGCCTGTGGTCTTACAGGTATTAGTTATGAGATGATTAAACATCTTGGTAATAATTGCATCCTTGCACTTACTGCTCTTTTCAACCGATGTCTTTCTCAAAACAATATTCCCAAACTTTGGAAACACAGTAGAATATATCCTATCTCCAAAACTAATTCATTTGATGGCAATTTAAACTTAACATATCCTATTAGTCTTATTAAACATGCTAGAAAAATTTACACTAAAATTCTTACTAATAGACTAAACCAAACCTTTTCTCAACACCCTATTCTTTCTCCTTT